CCCTTCGGTTTGGGAAGATATCGCGGACTAACATCAATGACATGAAAATGTTGGCCACAATCGGCCGCAAGTGTCAAAACATTCACACCATTGACTGCCGAAGAATAAGCAACACATATACTAAGAAATACACATATTCTAAGCAATTGCCGGAAGTGTTGCCTATATTTCGGGACAATTGCCCGCATTTACGGCACATTTACTGCGATTTTGATGAAAATACGGATCAATTGATGCCAGAGTTCGGACCACTGGTCACAAGAATTGGCGGTATAAGCGGTCTTAACGATAATCAACGGCTCTCTCATTGCCACCAATTGTCTCGACTCCGGGTTCACAGAGTTTCTCAAGTCTTTGACGACACGACAAGAGAACTGTTGGCCAAGAATTTACAGAGATTTGAATTTTCTTACGATAGTTTGGATGATAAACACCTGTTGTCGGCATTTGTGGCACAGAATCAGTCACTAAGAAGTGTTAAACTCAATGATTATAACTATGAATCTCACGAGAGTTTGACCGAATTGGCCGAACAGTTGTCACGATTACCACAATTAATGGATTTGACACTCGATTTAATGCTAAACTACGGCCCGAACGCATTGGATGTGTTTTTGCGGGCAATCGGCCAGAAGTGCCCGCAATTGAAACGATTGGGACTGAAGTTGAAGGCGAAGAATACTATTAGACTTTATAACCACTCAATCGATTCGTTGGGATGTTATCGCAGATTAAAACGTTTGGATTTAATCATTACTTCAATGATCAATGAGCTATTTCTGGATCCGTTGAAACTCTGCCACCGATTAACGCATTTATCGCTCAATTCGTGTTACATTAATGACAATTTGTTTGTCAATTGTGACAAACAGTGGCCACGACTTCAATGCTTATCCATTCAAAGAACTGATATCACAAGCAATTGTTTGAATCACATCTCAAGACTACCAGCGCTGCAGACACTGGAGTCTCACTGTTCCCTACTATTCAGTGGTTTTGTGGTAAAGCCTAAACATATTGGCAATCATTTAATAGATAATGTCTGCGAAGACCTGTTGGTCAGAAGTCCTAAACTGAAGTCCATTGAAATCCGCAGATGTGATGACTCAATGTTTTATTGCCGTAAAAGTGGTACAACTATTTGAAGCGATTGTATGACAACTTAATGAACATTTTAATTGTTTTAATTTCTAATTTTATGTTTGATTGTAATTATGATTATTAGTAATATTTTATTACATCCAATAAATGCTCAAGAATTTAAATTAAAAGTGACTTAAAACCCAATTAAAAAGCTATTTGTTTTTAATATTTCATTTTATGTTTGATTACTATTATTATTTAATAAATTATATGTTATTTGACTTTCATTTTGACATTCAATTTAATTCTCAATCAATACCTAAATGTTAAACGATTTATAATTAATTTACTTTTTGATGTAAATGTGCATTAAAAATGTGAATACAAACTAATCTATAAAATGGTCACTAATTGCTATAAATTGTATCATTAAAACCAATTGTTGTGTAATTTATATCACGTTTTGATTTCAATTCAAACTTTCAATTGTTTTATTAATTGTGAAATAGTTTTCAGATTAACTGTCACTTTGAAGACAGTCTTGTAATTAACTGAAACCAAATGGCAGACAAGATTGGCAGCGGATCCCAAAACACAGTCAAAGAGGTAATGACATCACAATTAGTATAACCACTCGTTTGATAATTAATTTGAATTGCAGTCAAAGACATCCATCGGTGACGACAACGACGAGAGGTTTCCCGAAATGAAACACTTTCTAAACGAATCCAAGAGTGATGTCGTGTTTCTGGTCGACGGCCAGAGAGTGCCCGCAAAGAAGTCAGTCTTAGGGCTCAAGAGTGATGTCTTTGACGCCATGTTTTCGGGACAATACTCGGAGTCGACGGCCAAAGAGATCACAATTACGGACACGACTGCCGACGCCTTTAAAACAATGATACGATTTATGTATACATCGGATCTGGTCTTAAGTGACGCCAAAGACTTGAAAGTGATCGACGATGTCCTCCACTGCGCCGACTATTACCGAGTCATGCGTTTTGTGAACGCAATCGGCAAACACTTGGAGACAATGGTAAACGTCGAGACAATGGACACAATCGCCGAAATGGCCGACAAGTATCGGATCCGCGGTCTGAGCGAAGCGATGGGCACCCGATTGGGCGCACTGTTGACCGTCGAGAACGTGCTATCAGTGGCCAGAGTTGGCTACAAACGCGGGCCGCCGGCCGACCACTTCGTGACCGCATTGAAGACATTTCTCGACAAGAATTTGGAGTCAATGGCCGCCAAAGCGTCGGAAGAATTGATTGCATTGAATGAAATGACAGACAACTTATGGCTTCGAGTGATTCACGACGTGATGAAAGGTCTGTCGCCAACACATCGGCTGACAAACAACTCAAGACATCCCTTTCCGTACCCGATATCCGACTCTTTGCGCTCTACGGCCTCTACGGAGTCTACAGACAGCGGGTCTTCGATACGCGGTTTACAGCTCTACGAGTAGTTCAAAACACTGGCCAATCGGGTAGTCATTAGAGAACCGACGGGTGTCTGACTTATGCCATACAATATCCATATGAAAGACAATTTCACGATTCAAATACTATTTCATTCAATAAAACATTTCAAAGTTTTGTAGCATTTGTTTCGCATTTCTTAACTTAAAAGTGTAAAAAGTTTTACATTTCATAACAAAGGGTTAACAGACAAATGAATGCAGGCTTTTATAGTGTCAACAGTTAACGCGTTTTCATATCAATAGGTATTCACTAACTGTAAAGACAACACAAAACGCGTGAAATGCAAACCAAAAGTCAATTGAATTAATGATTAGTTTAACAAATTTAGTGCACTTTTCAATACATGTCTCGTGTCTTAAATTGTAATTAATTTTAAACATTTCATAGTTTTGTAGCATTTGTTTGCATTTCTTAACAGAAAATTTACTTATTTTCTTAACAAACCGTTGATTGCAAACAATCTCTTCATTTGTTCCCAAGTTTTTAGACATTGAAGACTTGTAACAGGTTTTGAGTGACAAATAATTGACTGTTTATTAAGTTTTAATTGTTGTTTAAATTGTCTTTCGTTTTGATCGCAGATCTACTCGAAGAGCACACCAACGATGGCATCGTTTGCCGACATTATTCAAGCGTTAGAAGTGGTCGTCAAAAAACAGGTATTGATTGGCAAACAATTGAGTATTCATTGAGTTTTAATTGTCTTTTTTGTCTCACATTTTTAGCGACTAATTTACGCGAAGAACTCTTTCGATCGTTTCGGTGATGACTTGTGTGAACTCATTCTGTCGCACCTCTCGCTGGACGAGCGCTTTGCCTGTGAGTGTGTGTCCAAACAGTTCCAGAGGACAGTCTTCGAGAGTGTTGTCGACATCACTATCCACGACACGAACTCAACAAAATCGCGGATCAAAGTCTGTAACGTTGAATTGTTGGCCACAATTCACGGCAAGTGTCCAAACATTTACACCATTGACTGCAGAGGAATATGGAGTAATTGTTTGCCACAAACAGCAGAAGTGTTGGACATATTTCGGCATCATTTGCGGAACATTTACTGCAATTACGACCGAAATGTTTACGAAAGTCTACCAGAGATCGGATCACTGGTCACGAGAATCGGCGATATATCGGAAACCAGGAAACAAAGGCTCAGACTGTGTCGCCGATTGGCCGAATTGCGCGGTCGGGAGTTGTCGGATGTTTTTGACGACAATTCCGGCCAACTGTTGGTCAAAAATTTACAGAGATTTGAAATGTCTGCTTATATTGAAGAAGATTACCAAATGTTGTCCGCATTGGTGGCCGAGAATCAGTCCCTAAGAAGTGTTAAATTTGATTATATTGTCTGCTGGACTCACGAAAGTCTGACCGAAATGGCCGCACAATTGTCACGATTACTACAATTACGGGAATTGTCACTAAATTTGGGTCGTATTGAAGGCCACAACTCATTGGACGAGTCTTTGCGGACAATTGGCCAGAAGTGTCGACAGTTGAAACGTTTGGCACTTAAATTGACACTAAAATACAATTCATTTAATGGCCACACATTAGACTCATTGAAATGTTATCCGCGATTAAAACGATTTGATTTAAATCTTAATGAATATGAATTTAAAATCGATGACATGTTTTTGGATCCGTTGAAACGCTGCCACCGATTAACACATTTGTCTATCGATTCGTGGCAATCAAGTGACCAATTCTTTAACATTTTCGGCGATCATTGGCCACGACTTCAATACCTATACATTAGGACTCAGAAAATCAAAGCCAATGATTTGGATCACATCTCAAGACTACCGGCGCTGCGGACACTAGTCTTTGATTGCGATCAATTCATTCGTCTTGACGTGTTTTTCACTCCCGATGGCAATCATTTCGTGGACAATGTCTGCCAAAACTTGTTCTCCAGAAGTCTTAAACTGAAGACAATTGATATCCGTTTATTCAATGTCTCAAAATTATATTGTCGTAAAAGTGGTGCAAATGTTGAGTGAAAGACAACTTTTATTTGGTTTAAAATTATTGTCAAAACATTTAAATTGTATTTTATGTAAAAATTTCTAATTGTATGAAAAGTTATCGCAATTTAATGCTATTTATAAATCAATTATAAAATATTAGTTTTAAAACTTTTTGTGAAATAATTGAAGTATTTTCTTTTCAAACAAAACTAATAAAAAGTTTGTAAAACTATTTTTTGAGACAAAGTTTTTAGTTTAAAATCATTTTGCGAACCAATTATTTAGTAAAAACTATATATTTATTGTAAACAAAAACATGATTTATAACTAAATTTATTTAATTGTATTTAATGTATTCACTAACTTTAAAGACAACACAAAACGCGTGAAATGCAAACCAAAAGACAATAAACAATTGAATTAATGATTAGTTTAACAAATTTAGTGCACTTTTTAATACATGTCTCGTGTCTTAAACTGTCATTAATTTTAAACATTTCATAGTTTTGTAACATTTGTTTGCATTTCTTAACAGAAAATTTACTTATTTTCTTAACAAACCGTTGATTGCAAACAATCTCTTCATTTGTTCCCAAGTTTTTAGACATTGAAGACTTGTAACAGGTTTTGAGTGATAAATAATTGACTGTTTATTAGGTTTTAATTGTTATTTAAATTGTCTTTCGTTTTGATCGCAGATCTACTCCAATACTACACCAACGATGGCATTGATTGCCGACACAAATGGCACCGAAGAAGTGGTCGTCAAAAAACAGGTATTTATTGGCAAACAATTGAGTATTCATTGAGTTTTTATTGTCTTTTTTGTCTCACATTTTAGCGAAAGATTTATCCGAAGAACTCTTTCGATCGTTTCGGTGACGATTTGTGTGAACTCATACTGTCGTACCTCTCGCTGGACGAGCGCTTTGTCTGCGAATGTGTGTCAAAACAGTTCCGGAGGACTGTCTTCAAGAGTGTTGTCGACATCACTATCCACGACACGAACTCAACTGAATCGCGACTCAAAGTCTGTAACATTGAATTGTTGGCCACAATCGGCCGCAAGTGTCCACACATTCACACCATTGACTTGAGAGAAATATGGAGTAATTGTTTGACACAAACTGCCGAAGTGTTGGACATATTTAGCCACAATTTGCAGAATATTTACTGCAATTACGATCGAAATGTTTACGAAAGGCTACCAGAGATCGGATCACTGGTCACAAGAATCGGCGATATATCGGAATACAGGAGACAAGGGCTCAGACATTGTCGCCGATTGTCTTCATTGCGCGGACAGCAGTTTCGTGAGGTTTTTGACGACAACTCCGGCCAACCGTTGGTCAAGAATTTACAGCGATTTGAAATGACTACTTATTTTGACGAAGATTACCAAATGTTGTCCGCATTGGTGGCCGAGAATCAGTCCCTAAGAAGTGTTAAATTTGATTATATTGTCTGTTGGACTAACGCAAGTGTGACCGAAATGGCCGCACAATTGTCACGATTACCACAATTACGGGAATTGTCGCTGGATTTGAGTCTTATTATCGACCAGAACTCATTTGACAAGTTTTTGCGGACAATCGGCCAGAAGTGTCGACAATTGAAACGATTGGCACTTCAATTGACAATAAATTACTATTTATTTAATGGCCGCACATTAGACTCATTGAAATATTATCCGCTATTAAAGCGATTTGAGTTAAGGCTTTGGGGACACCAATTGACAATCGGTAACACGTTTTTGGATCCGTTGAAACATTGCCACCAATTAACACATTTGTCTATCGATTCGTGGCAATCAAGTGACCAATTCGTTAACATTTACGGCGATCATTAGCCACGACTTCACTACCTATTTATTAGGACTCAACAATTCAAAGTCAATGATTTGGATCACATCTCAAGTCTACCGGCGCTGCGGACACTGGTCTTTGATTGCTATCAATTCATTCTTCGCGATGTGTTTCTCACTCCCGAAGGCAATCATCTCGTGGACAATGTCTGCCAAGACTTGTTCTCCAGAAATCTTAAACTGAAGAGAATTGATATCCGTTTATTCAATGTCTCAAAATTATATTGTCGTAAAAGTGGTGTAAATGTTGAGTGAAAGACAACTTTTATTTTGTTTAAAATTATTGCAAACACTTTTTAATTGTATTTTATGTCAAAATTTCTAATTTTTTAATTGTATGAAAAGTTATCGCAAAAATGCTATTTATAAATCAATTATAAAATATTAGTTTTAAAACTTTTTGTAAAACAATTTAAGTATTTTATTTCCGAACAAAACTAATAAAAAGTTTGAAAACTATTTTTTGAGACAAAGTTTTTAGTTTGAAGTCATTTTACAAACCAATCATTTGGTTTAAACTATATATTTATTGTAAATAAAAACATGATTTATAACTAAATTTATTTAATTATTTGTAATTAAGTTTTAATCCAACATAAAAAGGGGTCAATTTCTCGCTATAAGATCTGTGCCGTAATTCACACGTTATTTATGGCATCACTTATAGTAAGCGACAAAAAACATATGTTTTATTGTTTTGGTTTGCATTTCATAACACTTTAACCACATTTTCGTTAACCAAAGCATTGATACAAATAATCATTTCATTTGATCCAAAGATATTATAGAAGACATGACATCAATGAAGAGATTAATCGGTACCACAGATGACACCGAAGACAAAGATAGTCAACAGGTATTGAATGACGAAACAATTGATTGTTTTTATTGAGTTTTAATTGTCTTATGTTTTTGTCTCACATTTTTAGCCACAGATTTAAAGCGAAGAATTTTTTGTCACATTTTAATTGTGGATTAGTTTACAAATTAACAGTCATTTTGTATACGAAGTCATTTTGCGGATCAACTGAAACTTAATGGCAGACACTTCAGGCAACGGTTCCCAAGACATTGTCGCTCTGGTAATGGTTCCACACGTTAGACATTAACCACTCGTTTGACAATAGATTTTGATTTGCAGACAAAGAGGAAGAGAAACACATCCGACGCCGACTCCGAAGAGGACGAGAGGTTTCCCGAAAGGAAACACTTTATGAACGAATCCAAGAGTGATGTGGTCTTCATTGTCGACGGCCAGAGATTGCCCGCAATGAGAGGTGTCTTAAGCCTGAAGAGCGACCGCTTCGATGAGATGTTCAAAGAGTCGGCGGCGAAGGAGATCCAGATCGAGGGCATCACTGCCGACGCGTTCAAAACAATGATCTATTTTATGTACACTTCGGATACACTTGTGTTAAGCGATGCCAATGATCTGAATATCATCCGTGAGGTTCTTCACTGCGCCGACCGCTACCGTCTGATCCGTTTGATGGACGCCATCGGCAGACACTTGGAGACAATGGTCACAATCGAGACAATCGGGACAATTGTCGGAATGGCCGACAAGTATGGGGTGCGAGGGCTGAGCGATAGGTTGGGCACCCGATTGGCCCAACTGTTGACCACCGATAACATGCTATCAGTGGTCACAATTGGCTACAAATACGAGTCGTTGACCAATCGTTTTGAGTCGGCTTTGAAGACATTTCTGGAGATAAATATTGCGGCAGTTTTTGCCAAAGAGAAGGAAGAGAAGGAAAAATTTTGGGCATTGAATGCAATCACAGGAAACCTATTGATGGATGTGATGCGTGATATGATTCTCACATATTCAACATAAATGTCTATCAAATACAGGCTTTAATAGTATTATCCGTTTTCATATCAATCGCTATTCAAACAAATCACATCTTAATTAATACTTTAATTAATGATTAGTTTATTGTTCACAAGTCCTAAACTGAAGACAATTGAAATCCGTAGATATTGTTTATAAATGATATTATTTATGTCCCAAAATATTAGTGCCTTAAAAAAGTGTGTAAATGTTTGAAAGCGAGTAAAAAACAATTTTATTTTTGTTTTAAATACAATTAGTATACTTAATTTTATTTTGATGTTTAATTTTATGAGTGATTTTAATTATGTCACTTTTAATAAATGCTTAAGAATTAAAATAAAAATTTGAAATAAAACTCAAATAAAGATCTATTTATTAATGAATATAATTAAAATTGTACAAAATTTAGCCTACCATGGTTAGATTTAGAAAGCAGTTTTAAATATTTACGTTTATTTTACAATTTAAACCTTTCATTCATTAGGGATTGAAATAACGATATGTTTCGACTCAATACTGGCTTTAATTGTATTAACACTTCGTATATCAACTCATTTCTTAACTTTTATTATATATTTTAACAATTATTTATAACTTTTATAATTAATAAATTTAATTATTGAGTATTTATTGAAACAGAGAGTGAGAGACAGTCAGACTTGGGCTCACACGTGGGTCACCAAAACCACAACCAGGAAGTGGTCAATAAATAGGGATTAACTGATAATCACATGAATAACAAATGCATTTTAATCCTTTTTAACCTTTAATCCCTTTTTACTGACGAAACTCTTTTTGAAAGCTGTGAAGCATTTGAACGATTGGATTGACTGCAGGTTTAGAAGAGCGCCAGACGTCACACAATTCACATCTCAATCACTTTTTGTTTCAAAAGTTTTATTATGTTTTGAATCTTTACTTTTTTAACAACTTTTTGGAAATTTTAAGATTTACTAATCAAACCATTAATACAGACAATCACTTGATTTGATCACAACATATGACACAAGAGATGACTCAAACGAAGACATCACTGGTTATCGCAGATGACGGCGAAGTTGTAATCAAAATACAGGTATTGAGTGACAAATAATTGAGTATTCATTTAATTGTCTTTCATATTATATTTTTAGCGACGGATTTACGCGAAGAACTCTTTCGATCGTTTCGGTGATGACATGTGTGGACTCATATTGTCGTACCTCTCGTTGCGCGAGCGATCTGTTTGTGAATTTGTGTCCAAACAGTTCCAGAGGACTGTTTTCAAGAGTGTTGTTGACATAACTATTGACGACAAATATATGAAAACCAGAGCTTCTATGAAAATGTTGGCCACAATTGGACGCAAGTGTCCACACATTCATACCATTGACTGCAGAGGAATAAGCAACAGATATACGAAGCAATTGGTGGTAGTGCTGCCCATATTTCGGGACAATTGTCCGCATTTGCGGCACATTTACTGTAATTTAAATGAATATACGGATGAATTGATGCCAGAGTTCGGACAACTGGTCACAAGAATTGGTAATATTTGTCCGAATAGTAATCAACAGCTCTTCCATTGCCACCGATTATCTCGACTTAATGTTTGCGGCATTTCTACTGTCTTTGACTACACGACAAGAGAACTGTTGGTCAAAAATCTACAGAGATTTGAGTATTCTTACGATCGTAGAGATAATAACCAACTGTTGTCCGCATTCGTGGCCGGGAATCTGTCCTTAAGAAGTGTTAAACTCATTGATAATAGATATGATTCTTACGAGAGTTGGACCGAATTGGGCGAACAGTTGACACGATTACCACAATTACGGGAATTGGCACTCATTTTAAGGCCTCACTACTCATTGGACGTGTTTTTGCGGCCAATCGGCCAGAAGTGCCCGCAATTGAAACGATTGTCACTTGAGTTGGGGTCGAAGAATACCCTTCGGCTTTGTCACAACTCATTTGATTCGTTGGGATGTTATCGCAGATTAAAACGTTTGGATTTGACTATTAATGTGGTTATGAGTGATGTATTTCTGGATCGATTGAAACTCTGCCACCGATTAACCCATTTATCGCTCAATTCGCGTCAAATTAATAACAATTTGTTTGTCAATTGTGACAAACATTGGCCACGACTTCAATGCTTATCCATTCAAAGAACTTCTATTACAAGCAGTTGTTTGGATCACATCTCAAGATTACCAGCGCTGCAAACAGTGGAGTTTGATTGCGACCGACTATTCAGTGGAATTTTGGTAAATCGCAAACATATTGGCAGTCATTTCATGAACAATGTCTGCGAAGACCTGTTGACCAGAAGTGCTAAACTCAAGTCCATTGAAATCCGTAGAAATGCATGTAATGTCTCAAAGTTTTATTGCCGTAAAAATAGTGTAAATGTTTGAAGCGATTGAAAGGAAACTTTATTTTCATTTTAAATACACCAAACATTTGATATTTGATTTTATTTGTAACTTTAATTATAAATAATCTTTAAGATACAAATAAATGCTTAAGAATCTGAACACAAATGTGATATAAAACAATTAATGTCTATTTATTCTGTAAACATATTTATTATAATGAAAATATTTATCAAGTTTTAAATATTTACGTTTATTTCACAATTTAAACCTTTTATTCAATAGGGATTGAAATAACGATATGTTTCGACTCAATACTGGCTTTAATTGTATTAACACTTTGTATATTGTTTATTAACATAAGTCATTTATTAACTTTTATTATATATTTTATCAATTATTTATACATTTTATAATTAATATATTTAATTATTGAGTATTTATTGAAACAGACAGCGAGACTTGGGCTGACACGTGGATCAGATAACGACAAACACCACAACCAGGAAGTGGTCAATAAATGTGGATTTACTGATAATCACATGAATAACAAAAATGTTAATCTTTTTTAAATCCTTTAATCCTTTTTTACTGACGAAACTTTTCTTGAAAGCAGTGAAGCATTTGAACGATTGGATTGAGTGTTAGGTTTAGAAGAGCGCCAGACGTCACACAATTCACATCTCAATCACTCTTTTTTCAAAAGTTTTATTTCTTTTGAATCTTAACTTTTTTAACCACTTTTTGGCAATTTTACAATTTATTAATCAAATCATTAATACAGACAATCACTTCATTTGATCACAATATATGACACAAGAGATGACACCAACGAAGACATCACTCGTCACCGCAGATGACACCGAAGTTGTAATCAAAAAACAGGTATTGAGTGACAAATAATTATGTATTCATTTAGTTTTAATTGTTTTTCATATTTTATTTTTAGCGACGGATTTACGCAAAGAACTCTTTCGATTGTTTCGGCGATGACTTGTGTGGACTCATACTGTCGTACCTCTCACTCGAAGATCGGTTTGAATACGAATGTGTGTCCAAACAGTTCCAGAGGACAGTCTTCGAGAGTGTTGTTGACATCACTCATTACGACCCGTATGTGAAGAAATTGCGGACTAACATCAATGACATGAAAATGTTGGCCACAATCGCCCGCAAGTGTCCGCACATTCACACCATTGACTGCCGAAGAATAAGCAACAGATTTACGAAGAAGCAATTTCTGGAAGTGATGACCATATTTCGAGACAATTGCCCGAATTTACGGCACATTTACTGCGATTTTGATGAAAATACGGATCAATTGATGCCAGAGTTCGGACCACTGGTCACAAGAATTGGTGGTTTTGGGAGTCAACTGAAGGATAATCAACGGCTCTCTCATTGCCACAGTTTGTCTCGACTTCGGGTTAACAACATTTCCCAAGTTTTTGGCGACACAACGGGAGAACTGTTGGCCAAGAATTTACGGAGATTTGAATTTTCTTACTATAGTGGAGATAATAGACAACTGTTGTCCGCATTTGTGACCGAAAATCAGTCTCTAAGAAGTGTTAAATTCGATGTCTATGAATATGAATCTCATGAGAGTTTGACCGAAATAGCCGTACAGTTGTCACGATTACCACAATTACGGCTTTTGACACTCGATTTAAGGCTAAACTACGGCCCGAACTCATTGGACGTGTTTTTGCGGACAATCGGCCAGAAGTGCCCGCAATTGAAACGATTGGGATTGAAGGTGGAGCCGAAGAATACTTTTCGACTTTATAACCACTCAATCGATTCGTTGAGTTGTTATCGCAGTTTAAAACGTTTGGATTTAATCATTACATCGATGATAAACGAGCAATTTCTGGATCCGTTAAAACTCTGCCACCGATTAACACATTTATCGCTCAATTCGAGTCAAATTAATGACAATTTGTTTGTCAATTGTGACAAACATTGGCCACGACTTCAATGCTTATCCATTCAAAGAACTGATATCACATCCAATGTTTTGGATCACATCTCAAGACTACCAGCGCTGCAGACACTTGTGGTTCAATTTGACCGATTTGTTGGCAAAGATTTCACGGCTAATGTCTGCGAAGACCAGTTGACCAGAAGTGCTAAACTGAAGACCATTGAAATCTGTAGATGTAATCGCTTTTATCGCTTTTATTGCCGTAAAAATGGTGTTAATGTTTGAAACAATTGAATCACAACTTAATTTTCATTTTAAATACAATCAAAACATATAAATTGTTTTGAATTTTCATTTTATGTTTGATTTTATTTATGATTATTACATCCAATTAATGCTTAAGAATTTGAATTAAAAGTGAAATAAAACCCAATTAAATGGCTATTCATTTGTAAAAATAACTATATTTATTAAATTCATACACTATTTAAGTGATCGTGGTCATATTTATAAAGTAGTATTAAATATTAACCTTTTACGGTAATTCAAAACTTATTCAATAAGTATTGGAACAGTTTTGATGTTTAAATATTTTATTTTAAATTATTTGTTAGACAAGAACTGAATATAACTTTATATTACATGAAAACATACATTATTTAAAACTAATTAAATTAATACATAACGGTTTAAATATACCCCCTTTGATGGTAACCCCGTGTGTCATACGTGACGGACACCTGAGCCGACAATACCTGTTACCACCCGTGACTATCAATACCTGCATATTGTCTCAAATAGCCTGACATTCCTAAGTGTCACTCAATATAACTGTTTATCATATACTTATGTAGTCATACAATACCTAATATACCAGAATATAAATCACTATCAAATCAGTGCTTACAGACAATCACTTGATTTGATCCACAAATATGGCACAAGAGATGACACCAACGAAGACATCGCTCGTCACCACAGATGACACCGAAGACGAAGTCATACAACAGGTATTGAATGACAAAACAATTTACAATTTTTTAGTATTTAATTATCTTTTATTTTGGTTCACATTTTTAGCCAAAGATTTACGCGAAGAACTCATTCGATCGCTTCGGCGATGACTTGTGTGGACACATACTGTCGTACCTTTCACTCGACGACCGCTTTGACTACGAATGTGTGTCCAAACAGTTCCAGAGGACAGTCTTCGAGAGTGTTGTCGACATCGCTCTTCACGACAAGTTTGTGAGATCGCGGACTGACGTCAATGACATGAAAATGTTGGCCACAATTAGCCGCAAGTGTTCACACATTCACACCATTGATATAAGAAGAATAGATACGAAGAAATTGCCGGAAGTGTTGACCATATTTCGGAACAATTGTCGGCATTTGCGGAACATTTACTGCATTTTGGACACAAATACGGCTCAAATGATGCCAGAGTTCGGACCAATGGTCACACAAATCGACGGTATTTGGTTAGACGAGAGACAAGTGCTTAATGATTGCCACCACTTGTCTCGACTCCGATCTTCACTGTCCAACTGCTTCGACAATACTTCCGGCAAATTGTTGGTCAAGAATTTGCAGAGAATTGAGTTTTCATACAATATATCCAATAATAACCAACAGTTGTCTGCATTCGTGGCACAGAATCAGTCACTAAGAAGTGTTGAATTCATTGACAGTGGATATCAAACTCACGAGAGTCTGACCGAAATGGCCGAACAGTTGTCACGATTACCACAATTACGGCATTTGGAACTCGATTTGAAGCCAACGAATGGCCAGAACTCGTTGGACGAGTCTTTGCGGACAATCGGCCAAAAATGCCGACAATTGAAACGATTAACACTTAGATTGAGTTATAATAATAACTGCGGATTAGAAGACCAATCATTGGATTCGCTGAGATCTTATCCACGATTAAAACGTTTGGATTTAATAATACGTGTGATTATTGATGACGTATTTCTGGATCCGATGAAACACTGCCACCGATTAACACATTTATCACTCAATTCGAGTCAAATGAGTGACAATTTGTTTGTTAATTGTGACAAACATTGGCCGCGACTTCAATACCTATTCATTAAAACTAATGATATGACTGTCGAGTGTTTGGATCACATCTCAAGACTTCCAGCGCTGCAGACATTAGCGTTTGAATGCAAACAATTCATTGGCTCTGCGATTACTCGTAACCTTTTGACCAATAATTTCATGGATAATGTCTGCGAAGACCTGTTGACCAAAAGTCTTAAGCTGAAGACCATTGAAATCCGTAGAAATACTGTCTCAAAGATTTATTGTCGTAAAAATGGTATAAATATCTGAAGCGATTGAAAGACAACTTTATTTTGTTTAAAATTGTTATAAAACAGCTTACTTATAATTTATGACTAAATTTATAGTATTTTAATTTTATATGTGATTTAATTTTCATTTATACATTTAATTAATTAATAAATGTTTAACTTTTCAACAAAAAAGTTTTTGTAATTAATTTATTTTTTAATATTAATGTTTAGATAAAAATATGAATACAAACTGATCCACAAAATGATAACTAATTGCTATGAATTGTATAATTAAATCGCAAACTAATGGTATTGTTATCTCATTTATATCACGTTTTAATTTGAATTCAAACTTTCAATTGTTTTATTAATTGTGAAATAGTTTTCAGATTAACTGTCACTTTGAAGACAGTCTTGTATTCAACTGAATCCAAATGGCAGACAACACAGACAGCGGATCCCAAGATCAGGACAATCACGTAATGATATCCACCAGTCGTTTAACAAATCATTTACTAATTGTTTTGAATTACAGTCAAAGGCTAAGAGAAGAAAGACATCCATCGGTGACGACAACGACGAGAGGTTTCCCGAAATGAAACACTTTATGAACGAATCCAAGAGTGATGTCGTGTTTCTGGTCGACGGCCATAGAGTGCCGGCAATCAAAGCAGTCTTAGGGCTAAAGAGTGATGTCTTTGACGCCATGTTTTCGGGACAATACATAGAGTCGACGGCCAAAGAGATCCCGATTACAGACATCACTACATTAATTCACAATATATTAATAGTTGCAATATTTATGAAATATAATTAGTTTTTGTTTAATAAAATATGAATTTGTTTCACAAAATATTTTTAATAAAATATAATAATATAAAAGAACAAATAAATTATTTTGAAATTATATAACATGAATATAAGCATATTTAATTAATCATAACTTATGATTCATAAGGAAAGAATAAATTATTAAAAGTTTGAGTAAGTTAAGAATTCATAATATGAATTATATATTATATATTTATTATATAATCACTATTTGAGTTATGAATTAGATTCAATGTTTTCAACGATTCCTGGATTGAAATAAAACAATTTCTTCCATCCTCTGTACGAGAATTCCATCACTTGTTTCTCCCCATCAATTGTTTTCCGATTGTTAAGCAATTGTGAAGTAGCGGTGAGAATGGCGTGTAATTCATAGGAATGTGAATATTTAATAAGTGTTTCGCAGAGCGCTTCCCCAACCCAAGTGCCCGTTTGTATGTTACGCCACGAGACGTAGCCGGGAAGTGTGGAATGAGCGATCATCATATCTTCATCAACAGGTGTCCGCATACCATATGCATTGGGTTTATAGTCACACGAAGTGAATTCCGCGTCCCATTTGGGATCAAAACCACGACACGTGTTAAAGAATAATAATTTGGGTTTATTTATGAGATGACAGCAGTTCTCGTTATTAAACCGTTTTATTATGTGATTGTAACGAACGGTAACGCCATCGGCCGCTAACACACCTTCAGAGTGTCCGTGAGATAAGACTATAAGAATGAAAGCGTCGTGGTTTGAGAGCTCATCCCTATCCGCAATGTCGTTAAGTGTCGCTATCATCTCAGCCGCCGTCTCATTGTTTCTCACGTCGACATTGAAATGCAATTGAGTAAACACTTCAGTCAAGTATTCGGACTCCAACTTAGAGCCCAAACGTTTTGGATGACGATGGTTTTGGTATTTATATATATTGAATATAAGACAATATCCACGCGCCTTGGCACGCATTTGATATATATTGTCGCCTTTCATCTCAACCGTGCATTTTTTAATAAACAAATCAGTATCCGATGAAACGGCATTGTGGTCGGCATTGAAATCCGACGGGCATTTAATTTGTCGAGCCAAGTCTGACAACTTTTTGAGGGCTGCGACGCAGGGATTTGACAATGAAGTGGTAGATCCATTCAAACCCAAATCAGTTATTACGTTTGTATTTTTTCTATTCAATTGATTTTCTATTTCTTTTTGTGATATAGCGTACGGCCTTTTAAGCCCAAGACTTTTCTTAAAATTATATGTACACAACTTCTTTTGATTATCCAATAAGTCGTTGTGGATCCACGAGTCGTTATGCTTAATTTTATATTCCGATTGCAAGTTATTGAAAAAGTCCCATTCTTTGTATACATTTATCTGTTCTTTATCAATCAAACCTAATATGTGGGATTAAAAGTTAAAATTAGCTTATAATTATGCACTAAATAATGAAAGTATTAAATGTTACTTTTTATCGTATTCCATTTGAACGGGTATTCGTGTTCATCCAACTTGTGTTTGGCACTGAATATTGTCCCAAACTTTCCTGAATCTATAAGTGGCGACACATTGAAAGCTGTGGTGCAGTAATTGATAATCGTTTGGTTTGTTTGTATAATTGATGAATTCTGTAGAATGTGATCGCCAGTCACAATCCGCAACATCTCGGGATTAATTGTCACGAATGTCAACAACTTTGCTAATTCTGGTAGACTTTTGGTCAAATAAAAAGTCAACATGTGATTGAAATCTGAATTATGTATTATTTGATCGCCGGGTATTGTCCATAACATTTCGGGATTTGCTTTCACAAATTCTAACATCTTTGCCACATCTAATTGCTTAAGATCCATATATAATGTGAGGGTCGGGGTTTCATACTGTACACCAAGTGCATTCGTGGACATTACGCTACAGCACGATGATACCCGACAATGAGTGGTACTTTTATCTGGATATTTGCATCTAGGACATTTCTCAAATAAACCAAATGATAGGTTTGCAGCCGTATTAAGCGTTGTACTGTCATTAATATCGACTCCAGTTTCGTTAGAATTTTGGTTACTTGTATTATCACTCATTCCCTTCAATCATATAAAATGTTTATTTAATTAATTTATTTAACAAGTTAATTATTTATTTACCATTTCTATCGAGTCGATATTTGTAGGCGCTGTACATGTATTTGTTAAATCAGTATTAATTGGGCTATATGTTGATAACATATGATCGGTGTTGATAGCAGTAACTCCTAAATTAAACTCGGGGACATAATTTGATGTTTGTGAGGTAGTTTGCGTAACATTCCCTGCCATAATATTCTCTGGATCAATATTAACTGAATCAGGATAACCATTCGCTGAATTAGCCGTCAACTGGTTTGCTTGGTTGTAAATGGGCACCAATGAATTTAATGTGTGCGTTGCATTTGGTGTTACAATACCGGCGGAGTTCCCATGTATTAAACTAATTGAATTGATGTTCAATGAATTGGTGGCTGAATTAGTGGCTAAATAACTATTTTGTTGCGATATGCCCTTAATAAACATTCCAATCTCTCGGCATCTTGCCACCCGACATAGTCTACAACTATATGTATCCCCATTAGTTTGACAAGTATGGGATGATTTTCTTTTTCGTTTTTTAACATTCGCTTGAATATTAATATTATTTATTTCGTCCTAAATAATATACATGTATTCTATTAATCTCATTATTATTAATAATATAAAATATACTCATACATAGATTTTCTTCTCGTGGTTAAAAAATATCACGCGACAACTTTGACACACTGTTTCACGTCCTGAATTATGAGTGCCAAGTGTACCTACTGTAATAGTGTATCAAATAAAATAGAGTAATTTAATAATTACAATCGTTAATGATTAATTTATGATTATACTTTATTAGGTATTAATAATAACTTTCAATTGAGTAACTTGATATTTTTAACCACTATTCTGGAATAAATAATGTGGTTTATAGGATCGCTCGGCGACCCCTCCCCCGACCCCCCCCCCGCTCTATGGGACTTAACATGGGATTACAGCTTAAGTCTATGGCT